GATGATCGTTGTAGGTCCCTTCCAACTGAATTTTCTATTCTATTCTATTCTATTCTATTCTATTCTATTCTATTCTTTGAATGCCAGGCGCCTTTGTTTTCAGCAAACAGTTTTAATATGTTGTGAACACCAAATGGTCAATCTTGGCACTGGGGTAGCCAGGGGTAGCCTCAGCTTTCAGAAATGGGAAAGTCTATCTCCATGATGCTAGTGGCTCCCTTGGTCATATATTAGTGCACTGGGCAGTTGGGTAAGTTCTTAGCACAGACCTGTGAGGGTCTCCTCCCTCACCACAGCTCTGAGAGCTTGCTCTGCCCTTGTTGTAGGCCAGTCTTCTCTACTGTTGTCTTTTGTTTATTTTGGTTATTTTTAGTGCCTGCAAACACACCTCTGCAACGGCTATCAGCAGGGATCCTACATTTTTACATCCCTTAAGGCTTCTGCAAATGATTTTGTTATCATTTCCTCAATTTTGCTATCCATTTCTCTTTGTGGTTCTTTTCGTACATCTGTCTACATCAGTTTGAAGAGTAAACTCATGTATTTCAAAAATTGAGCAACTTAACTTATGTCTTTGATAATTTCCTGGGTAAATTATGCAATGTTACACTAAATGTCGTATTAACCCTGAATACGTGGGGTTGTATCATAATTATTGGTATGAGGGTTAGCACATTAGAGAAAAGACATATTACTGCAAGACTTTAAGTAAACTACCTAGCTTTAAGATAAACACAGTAGAACCCTGATTTTGACAAATAAACTAAAGCAACTTGCTGTAAGTTTTCATTTAGAAGAGAAAAAAAAAAAGAAAATGTAATGTTCACCAGTCCGATTTCAGTCTAACTGAAAACCAAACCTGTAGATGATGGATTAAGGCAATTAAAGACTCCTGCTCTATTTTAAATTATATTCTTCACTCACAGAGGTAGCAAAATACATGCATTGTTACCAGTGGGTCCTCCCCTAGCATGTGGCGCAGTAGGAAGTACTTTTCTGCTTTCAGTTACTTTGCGTTTCACAGGAGGCAAGAGAGATTTTGCACAACAGCTGAGGGAAACCTCAGTTGAACTTTTAAAATCAGTAAATCAGTGACTCCCTGTGCCTTTAAAAATCAAATTATAGTTCTGAAGTTCTGGACTGCTGAGCTCCCCTGCATTTACCCCCCACCTTTTGAAGGGAAATATTGCTGTATTTTGCTTCCCACATGTCTTAGGTTAAAAAAAACACAAGAAAGCACTTTGCATTTCTATTAGTGTTCAGCTAAAGCTGCAGTTTCACTCTGCACGGAATTGAAACTCATTGCTCTTGGCTGGGTGACAGTGAGTTCCTAATATGAAAAAAAATAAAATCAGCCTTAGTCCAAAAGGAAAGGCAAAGCGTCGGTACACCTATTAACATTTCTGAAATTTGTAGGTATGGACTGCAAGGGAGATCTCCCAAGACACTGAGCACCTGTCGAAAATTACAGGGTTGGGTGACTGGACACTGTGCTTTAGAAAACCTACTTACAACCAAAGCGAGTGGGCATTAAGCATCTCATGTTTAAGCGATGTTCCAGTGTCATATGCCGGGGACGTGGATAGGTGCTTGAAGAAATCAACTTTCACAATTCAATTTGTGCCAAGTCATTCTCTTATTTCACAATTAATTAAACACATTTGCTTTACAATAAGGTGAATAACTATAAATGCGTGGAAGCTGACTTTCTCTTCTGATGACATACAGTCTATGAAATATTCAGAGTGGAAGAGCTAGTGTAGGGTGTTTGCAAAGAAGGTTTTCCTCCTATCAGAAATGCGTTGAATGGCCTTGTAAAATGCAGCAGGATTTTAGTGAGATGTCTGCATTAGTTGTAATAACCCCCAACGAAAACCTTAGTGCATCCTGCATGAAAAGAATAATCCAGCTACCAGTAAATAGCAGAGGAATCGTATTTTATTACAGTACTTTTAGTAATCAGGCACAAAGGTGAACAATATAGTCCTGAACCTAGAGTGAATTAATGAGCCCTTTCCTAGGCCTTGACTGAAACGGTAATGATGCTGTACACTTTCTTGGTTTTGTTTATGTCTGTATGACTTGGCCACTAAGCCCAGGGAATTTTAAAGTATGATTGCAAATTCTTTCCCTGTTCATTCTTCAGGTTCCAGTCTTCTGAAATGAGTTTCTCAGCTCCACCACAGTCAGAGAAGTTATGAAAT